TGATCCCAGTCGTAATCATCATCGTTGTCGTCGAACTCGAGCATAAAACGCGGTGGTGTAAAGTTTGCCAAGTCTTTAACAGTTTTCAGCGCACCTCCCACTTTTGCCACTTCTCCGAGATCTACAACAACCCCCTTGCCCTCGCTCACGTCTCCGCCCCACCCCCTCCCTCCACCATTCCATCCCCTTCGATTTTCGAACTTCATGCTCCATGCTAATAAAAACATTAACGTTGCCCCCACATGTGATGAGAGTCGACGGAGTTGGGGTGCGAACTTTAGTCATAAATAAATATTTCCTTAGCAAACATTTTGAGCAGATTCGGGGGACGCCTTTAAGGCTAAGACTGTTGGACAAAGCGCGACGCGTGCCAATTTGTTAATATACAAAAGTTGCTCGGTTGTAATTTGAAACTGTTTACATTCCCCCTTTTTGGGAGTCCAAGTCCACTGGTCCATTTGTGTAACTTTTGAAATGTTCGCAAGATAACAAAGCAAAAGTTTTTCGGAGAAACAACTCCCCAACTCCTACACTGAAAAATTATTAGGTCTTTGTTATTTTAAAAGCCAGCATAGATTGTATTTATTTTTTTTGTAAATATAATGCTTAAAAGCAAGGGTAAACAGAAAGATTATTTTAAAATGTATAAAATGTAAAATAAATCATATTTATAGTTACGTTATTAGATTATCACAAACCATTATATTTGCAAAACAAAACTATGCACTTTCCGCTCTTATGTAAGAAATATTTGCCTCACTTTCTAACAGCTTTGATATAAAGCTAATAAATAGATAACATGTCTTCAATCTACTGGATTTTCTTTCTCTGTACTGAATTTGTCCATCTTAAACTGACAAATTGAGTGGGTCATGGGCTAACTGCTTGATTGGCTGATTGACTTGCCAACGAGCCGCGACCTGCGGCTGGTGACCCACTTAATTGTTGGCCACTCTTAAAACTATTTTCCCCTCAGCATATTGCAAGTTTGCCAGAAAACTACTAGAAATTCACGTCCCACCAAGTGCGATAACCGATAACCAAGTCGGCTAACAAAGAGAAGGGAGGACGAGGACCAAAGGGTGAAAGATACTTCAGCCAAGTCTGTTGTTTCAGCGGATACAATACGCAATCTGGTCGGGGAGCCTTGCTGTTGATGTTGGACTTGGGTCAATGTTATTCGAGGCTTCAAGTTTTCCATCGATTGATTCAGCATTCAGCCGAAGAGTGGAAACTATATTTAAAAACAGGAGGAAACGCTACAGTAGGTATCTCAACTATCTTTACCAGTTACTCAGACAACCAATAATACTTTTTGACTAATCGTCTGACTTAAACTATTTCCTTTTACCTGTTACATACATACATATATCATGATTAGACATCGGATTTTAGGTGAAAAATTGAGCAGTCCAACAATTTTTTTGATTGCACACAAATTTGTTTCATGTAACGAAGATTATTATGAACGCGGCATATTTTTGCAAATTCAACCTTTTTACATATCTTCAACCTAAAAGCATATTGTCCAATTTCAGTCTTTTTCGAACTTCGAGGTCCTTGTGCTAAGAATCCTTGCGTCGGGGAACTTTTTAGAAAACGCAGTTTCAATTGGGAATTCGAAACGAAATTAACAAAAAAATAACATCCATCGAGGTAAATTTTAGATGTTGCACAGTGTAATTACACTCTTTACATTGTTGCAGTAGTAAAAACTAACAAAGCAAAGACAAAAACAAGAAAGGAAGCTAGCTTCGGCCAGCCGAAGCTTATATACCCTTGCAGATCATTCCTATTAATTAACAAATCGCAAAAATGTTCAATTTTCTAATATTTCTCATTAATTTTCCGATCGTTCCTATGGCAGCTATATGATATAGTCGTCCGATTTTGATCAAATTAAAATTGAAATTCGAAAATATTTAAAAAGAGTCATATCCTAGAGTAGAAGATAATACAATAAAAACCAAAGAAGCTAGAATTTATTTCCTATTACTTTTCCATTAATTTTCCGATCGTTCCTATGGCAGCTATATGATATAGTCGTCCGATTTTGATTAAATTAAAATTGAAATTCGGAAATATTTAAAAAGTGTCATATCCTAGAGTAGAAGATAATACAATAAAATCCAAAGAAGCTAGAATTTATTTCCTATTACTTTTCCATTAATTTTCCGATCGTTCCTATGGCAGCTATATGATATAGTAGTCCGATTTTTTAAATAATTAATTCGAAATTCAGATATATTTAAAAAATAACATCCCCAAAAGTAGAAGGTAATATTTCAAAAAACACCGAAGCTAGAATTTTTTAAAGTTTTTTTTTTCCGATTGTTCCTATGGGAGCTATAAGATATAGTTGTCCGATCCGGTCGGCTCCGACATATATACTACCTGCAATAGAAAGAAGACTTTTGGGAAAGTTTCATCCTGATAGCTCAAAAACTGAGAGACTAGTTTGCGTAGAAACAGACAGACGGACAGACGGACAGACGGACAGACGGACAGACGGACAGACGGACGGACAGACGGACAGACGGACAGACGGACAGACGGACAGACGGACAGACGGACGGACAGACGGACAGACGGACAGACGGACAGACGGACAGACGGACAGACGGACATGGCTAGATCGACTCGTCTTGTGATGCTGATCAAGAATATATATACTTTATGGGGTCGGAAACGTCTCCTTCACTGCGTTGCAAACTTCTGACTGAAATCATAATACCCTCTGCAAGGGTATAACAACAATTTATAAGAAAATAACGAGCTAAAATTATTTTCTGACCCCGGCAACAACATAAGAGCATTGAATATTATATCATTGCATGTGAAATAAAACCGGACTTTTTTTCACATTTTTTGACCTAAACAAAATAGGTCAAAATATGCTTGTCATATTCCTTAACCTTTTTTGACCTAAAAAACTGCATATTTTCGATAAGCCATTATTTTCTTAATCCTTGTATTTTTATAAGTCTATTGAATTTTTTTTTACATTTTTTGACCACAAACAAAAAAAACCTAAAATCCGATGTCTAATCATGATACAAATTAAATCAGCCAAATCCCTTTCTGCAATTCAAATCATTAATTAATAAATGTAGGAACTTTTCCTCCATTTGTATAATATGATATAATAATTTAAAATAAACGAAGTTGATAGGCTGGAAGATGCGGCTTGCCGCAGTTAGTTTACTTCCTTCACAAAATCACATGATGTTGAGAATAATAACCACAATCGAAGTTAAATTAAAAGTTTTATTTAAAAGAAATTAAATGAAGTTTCCTAAAGGCTAAACATTTTTAAAAGTCCTCGCCTGACGTGATTCATTCGGAATCCATCCATTTAACTTCATGAGCCTCTAGGCACAGACCCATTTCACTCAATTTGCTGCCAAAGGAGCCTTTGATTTTAATGCTTGCATCTGTAAGAATTCTGGCCGGCTAAATCACCGGAATCTCGAGCGTTTATCGATGCAACTAACTTGTTTAGCCAACTTAAAATGTACCCAAGAAATTAAGGGCCCTCGGGCAAATTGTATCTGCATAAGTGCAGGCACCATCCAATTCTAGAAAAGTGGAGAACTCGAAAAGGAGCAGGGCAGGCATGGCATGTTGCATGCCTCAGTGCGCAATAAGTTCGACAAACTCATTTCATTAAGCTTGGCGCTGCATAAAAAAGGATGGGGAAGGAGGACGAGCTAATGCGCTTCCCCAGACCCCCCATTTTCCGGCAGCTTTCCCGACTTTTCCGGCTGCCTCGCCGTCGTCGTCGATGCCTCATCATTTATTGGCAAGTGCTTTTCAACGGATTGGCATCGCTTCGCATGCATCGCTTAAAGTGGATAACAGGGAAGGCGGTGGCAGGGTTTGGACAGGGGCAGGGATCGGGACCGGGAACGAGATCGGGGGGATCCTTAAAACCAGAGGCAGCCCGTCTGCTGCTATTTATTGCCAGCTCGCAGCGTCGCACTCCAAAGCCATCAATTTTTTATTAGATTATATAAAATTTACCAACGATTTATCTATGCCCAGCGCCGCTAGCGTGTCACCATCTAACCCAATCAGTCCCCTTCCATGCTCCGACCTTCCCCCCGATTCCCGATTCCCACTTCCCATTTACCAGCCCCCTTCAACAGTCCCCTGTCGCCGCCTTTTCATCCGCTTCAGCAATCGGAAATCTGACGACAGCGACAACAGGATGTATTGGTTGCATTTAATGCAACTAATTTAATGAACAAAGGGCGGCCGATTGAAGGGGAGACTGATTATAAATATGCACATATATATCGGAGTAATCGTATTATCATTATCGCTGGGTGTCGGCGAGCTGCATGAGTTGTATTCAATTGAAGAGTTTTGAGCAATTAACTTTTGCCATGTTCAAGGAATGGGAATTTATTGGAGCCAAATAAAGCTTTTGTGTATTTTTTCTCGAATATTCTCCAAGCCTATGCAAGCTTTTAAATATATTTGATTTTTGGGAGCCTTAAATGAATTTAAAGTTAAGTTCCCACACTTTCAATCAATAAATTTATTGATTAAAATTCCCTTCCTCATTTGCACTTTAGCACTTTCTGTTAAAATGGGAAAACTCTTAAGCTCGCCTGATGCTACTGTTGTCACTGTTACTCTGCCCCGCCCAACGCCCACTGCCACGCCCCCGACCAACGATACAGTTACTTTGAGTTGTCTTCCTGCAAATACATTAAAATGCAGTTGGAGCTGCAATTGCTGGCGTGGCCACGCCCCATTTTCCCACTTCCACTTCTCGACGCCCACCTGTCAGTCTGGCTGTCAGTTTTCCGTTTTCCCTTTTTTGCGCTGGCAGGCATTCATCAGCGTTATCCTGTCTCCTTATCCTGACGCTCTACATGCAATATCTGCACTTTGCATTTCTTTGCTACTTTCGCGCTGGAATTAACATTAGTTCAACCAAAATGAAAGGCAGCCGGGAAATTGATTTGCTCTTGTTTTCTCCATCTTTGCAGGTTGCCTGGCAATCACCTGTGAGCCGGAGAGTCAATTGGTAAGTCCTTGAAAACGATAAACACTCCTAATATAAGGTTAGTGTCCTTACCTTTTATCTCCACCTTAAATTTAATATGAGGAAAGGAAATGAGTGAGATTTTAAAATCCTAGACTTTTGATAAAAAATATTTAGACCTAAACATCATTTTAAAAACTGCTACCAAGCGTAATTAAGTGATTTTCAATCCCTTTCCATTTTTGAACACCTTGGCTCCCTTTAAAGCAGCCCAGATATTCAACTGCTGCTCCCGATGTAATTGGAAACTGCCGATGGCCCCCAAAATCCGAGAAGAAACCTCGCTTCCTAATGGCACGACATTAGTCCTGCTGCCGGGTTTCCCTCTAATTTCTCTCATGTGATCCACTCTTTTGAATCCGCTGGCGCTGGGCTTTGACTTTGGCTTAATGCCGCTGTCGTTAAGTGCGCCAAACGGGCGAAAAGAAATTGCCACTAAATGTTATTGAAATCGAATACGTTGGCCCGCCCCCTTCGTCCTGTGTGGGCGGTGGTCCGCCCCCTTGTCACTTGCCATTGGCCTCGGTGCGTTGCGGTTGCTTTTAATATCCTTAATGTCCTTGTATCGACGAGACCGAGCTTTCCCACCGTCGTCACCGTCGTCATCAACGTCCTTCTTGGCTTTCCCTGGGGCTGTTCAGCGAAGCATCCTGCAGTGTTTATCCTTTTTAATCAGAAATTGATGCGCTGCCTTTTTCACAGCCACCGAGGGCGAGACAGCGAGTTTCAGATAAAGATAAGACCACGCATCCCGATACAGATACAGATAGAGGTACAGAAGACAATGGACAGCGGATACGTGTCCTTTTCGCTTTTTTCGTTGTCATCGCTTTAACTTATTGCCCGCAACAAATTCCTAATTACAATTTCAATTAAATATTTATTTTAATTAAAAAGCCAACTTCAAAAACACATCTCATCCACATCCGTTGCTTGGCAGTTGGCGGTGTACTGAGCGAAATAGGTTGGGCATTTAATAAGTAAGGTGCGTACTTTCTATAAGGGCGTATTTGATTTAAATATTTTTGTTTTTTGTGAAGTTTATTTTTATTTATTTATAGGTTAAGATTACACATATTTTGTAAAATGTAATATGAGTAAACAATCATGTTTTTTATTTAAAGCCTTATCACACTAACTTACTGGATTTAATTTAAGAAGTCATCGCAGCCTAAAAAGAGCCCCATCTGAAGAATTTATATATGGAATTAAAAATACATTGTACTTTGCCATGACCTTTTAAACCCAGTAAGTTAGTCGAAACCTAAGGGTATTATACCGCAATCTTATTGGAGCTATTTTTTAAAGTCGTGAAAATCGGGAGAAAAAAATCCTACAGCTTATCTTATGAATTTATATATTAAATCTAAAATACATGCTTAGGTTGCCATGACTGTTGGAAATCCAGTAAGTTAGCCGAAGGTCCCGCAAGTGCATTGAGTAAGCTAATAGTTATAGGTTCTTATATATATTAAATTAATTTATAATTATTTTTTTAACACGTGCATCTCTGGTATATGTCTTTAAATTCAACACATAAGAGTACATGATGCATTAAAAATATTTTGTTGCTGTATGGTTGTTCTCTTTTTTTTATTTTATTTTATTTATTCACCGTGTAGCGCCGCTAGTGGAGCAGCAATGCGAATCTGGTGGTTACCTCGAACCCTCCGGGTCGCCGAACCGTCGAACCGCCGCACCGCCGAGGCCCCGCTCCTCGCGCTGCTTCATTAAATTTCATGAATCGCCCGCAGTGCTCAGCCATACCATATCCTGTGCATGTTGTTGATGGCTCTGCCCACAAAATGCCGCGGGTGCTACGGTGTGGAGAGGGGTTACGGGTATATCATCTACCATTGTTGTCTGCTCAAACATAACTCTCCGGGAGCAGGGCCAAAGCCATACACACCCGTATCCGTATCTTGACCATCCTATAAAACTCGAACCACCCAAGACACCCACCGAACCAACCTCCATATTGTTGTTTCAGCAAAAGCCACAAAAAATGTTGGCGCTTTTATTTATTTGCTATTGATTTCCACTGTCCCAGGACGCAATTTGTTTGCAATAAACTTCATAACAATAATTCATGTCCGTTCAAATAAATAATTCATGGACCCCGTTCCGAAAACGAAAAGGAAAACACACATACATATGGATACATAAGATTTGCACAGCTTTGATAGATAATTTCTTGGCCACCCCACTTCTCTCTCTCGCTTGTTCTCTCTCTCTCCCTCTTTGTATCCCTAATTTTGGGGTGGGGTTGCTCCTTCCAAGGACACCGCAAGTTAATAAATCCAGCAATCGCCATGATAATAAAAAGTCGGCGTTAAATTAAAAGGTGTTTCAGCGCAGCCAAGCATGTAAGCGAGTTCTGATTCAATACATTCGATCGGGACTTGCTATTAACTCAGGATGGGAACGGGCACGTGAATGATGATCCGATGAATGATTCAGTAGGTTGCTTAGTAGAAGTGAATAAGAGTATTTCCAGTGCAAGGCGGGAAAGTTAGTTGAATGGACGGAAACAGTGGTTAATATGGAGAGACCGTGATACAGTGATATTTGGGATTAGATGAAAAAACAGTTTGAATCTATTTTATATTCGGAAGTCTTATCCTAGTTATATCGTTTTGATGAATAAATAAAATGCTGTTAAGGCAAAAACTTCAATGCATAAATATATCGATTTTGATATTAAAATTGTTTAAATGTTTTAATTATGATTTCTAAGCATGATAAAAATGAATAACAATTAAAGCATCCTAATTTTTTTTTCTTCTACATTTAGGAAGTATCTCGAAAATTGATGTCAAAATAATATGAAAACCCTATTATACACCCAGAAAAAAAAATTACCTTGATTTAAGTCCACGTTCCTTAAATTAAGGAACGATGGACTAAAAATGGCTAAATAAGGCTATTCATGGACTTAAAAGTTTTCATCCCATATACATTTTAAGTCTACATGGACTAATTTTGGACTTAAGGCCATATGGACTGTTACATGGACTTAGGTCCATTTTTAGTCCATGTAGACTTAAAATGTATATGGGATAAAAATTTTTAAGTCCATGTATAGCCTTATTTAGCCATTTTAAAGCCATTATTCCTTAAATCAAGGTCAATGGACTTAAATTAAGGAAATTTTTTTTTCTGAGTGTAATGTTTTGAGTATATACGCAAGTACATCTAAACGTAACATTTTTGTAGCAAATAATTACCGATTTCTGAAAAGGATTTTTAAATTTGCTTCCTTTCTTGTTAATTAGTGATATTACTTGGCCCACTGTAGTGTATTAGTTCCTGGTCAATTTTTTTGAGTGCTCCCGTATGATTTCGCCAAGTAATCGAAATCCAAAGGCAATAAACGAACCGGTGCACAAAAATACGACTTTCTCCGCTCCTCCCTTCGCCTTTCTCGTGACATTTTCGCATCCGCACTTAAATTCGCATTGGAATTCCGATTCGGCGGGGTATGGATTAACAATTAGCATTTCCATTGCCGTGGCCAACCCATGCCCATTACCTCGTTTTGTGTGCGGATTGCGGTGGCGATTCCACTGCGAAAGTGGAGTGGTATTGGGGACATGGGAAATTGAATTTCCCATTATCGTTTAAATGAAAATTCGTGCAAGCGGCGACAATCAAAAGCTGCAACATTTTACTTTCCCCCCTCTTTTAGCTGATTAAATGCAGGCCACGCGGCGTATGGGGTATATGCTTCACCGCGGCATTGCTCATTCGCCACGTGTGACGCTCTGATTTCTCGCCATAAAGCACAAAACACAGGGTGTGAGGTGGCCAAAGGAAAGCGGTCAATGGGAATTGCGTTTCAGCAGGCCGGACAGAGTCGGACAAATATAATAAAAATCAAGGGAAAATAAAATATTTACACATGCATACAAATAAACACAAATAAAATATGGCCCAGGACGACGGAAAGGAAGAAAAAGAGAGCGAATCTCCAGCGACAGCGACATTGGCGAGAGGCAATTGAGAAAATGAATTTACTGTGTACGAAATGGTTAAGTAAAAGTTTGTGTATCGAAGCCAAAAGAGGGCAGACAGACAAAGTGGCTGAAAGTCGGACGAAAACAGTGGGTTAAACGGCACAATACGGGCTGTAAAAAGTTGAGGAAAAATGGTGAAGTCTGTGCTACGGTAAGATGTTTCTTTTGATCAGTAAAAAGTACCTCTCGAATATTATTTCAATTCTATTGCCTAGTTAACTAGGCACAGACGATTATACAGAAATCGAATGTGAGTTTGTAAGTAACAAATGCCTCACCATATTTAGAGATCTATTCTTTTTCTAAAAACCCCTCCCACAACCAAATCCTGAATCCGCCACTGAGTCAAACGATTAATCAAATGATATAATAATTTCTTGTATAGTTATGATCTGTAGATTATTGGGCTTGCCTTTACATTTAAGGTTATATGAGCGCCACCTTAGCAAGTTCACACTCTTAAATATGTTGCTAAAAACTTCTCTATATGTTGCGCCACTGTACGGGCAAAGTGTGTCCCAATTTCGGGACTTGGCTGTCGTCCTAGCCATTTTCCTGGTCCCGTTCCCTGTCCCGGAACCCAACAGCGTCCTTTTTGGCCAGCGAGTGTTTCCCTTTGGCCGGGTTTGTTTAACTGTTTGCCGATGCTGGACGGCTGACGAGCTGATTGAGGAAATGCGCATCAGGCGCACTGAGCCACTGCCAATAAACTATGTGCCTGCTTTCCCCAGATCCAGCTTTATATATAGATATATATATATATATGTATGTATGTATAGATATATGGGAAGTGTGTGCATTGATCTCGAGGAAAGCAAGCGAAATCCTATAAATATGTCATTTGAAAGATAATGCAGCAATAACAAAGTGGCGGCTGCAGGAGAGGCTGGGAAATGGCAAGGTGGGTGGAAGAGCTCCAGGGAAACCCGAAGCCAAATGCAGGCTGGAGAAAAGATAAATAGGC